CTTTTAGCTGAACATAACATACATATGAAGAGAACATGACATGTTCTGTCTGGCAGCCGGGGTGAGGTCACTAAAATATGACAGTAGCAGAGAAAGGAAGAGCCAAAGAAAAAGTGACATATCTACTGAAGCTAGAAAATGGCATATACAGAGACATGTATCTAAATAGCTATACAACCATAAAAACAAGTTCAGTCAACGTAATCATAAACTGGACTACTAAGCTTCTATGGATTCTTCTTTGATTGCTTCTATGGATTTTAGGTACAAGGAAAAAGGACCTCATTTCTGAAAGAGCTTTTGCAACATAGCATATGTCTTTCCCCATAGACCCAGCCAAGTAGAAAAGATTGTCTAAAGCAAAATAGTGTGTGCTCAAGTCGGATGCACACATAAAAGATAGAGAGATGGCGTGATTGCGGATGGACAGGTTGCTGCCCATCTCTAATGCAATATATGTATATACCATTCAGACTAGCAGCAGCTGCAGCCAAGAAAAAAAGAGAAAGCAAGCAAAAGAAGAGCAACGTGATGGACTTCCTGCCCTCCACAGAGGTTGATGACATCAATAAGAAGCTAATAATCCTGCCTTAAACTACCTCAAAAGGGCTTGCCAGAGCAGTCCACAGCAGTCTAATGCTCCTTGTCCTCATACACCTTCAGGTCCAAGTGTTCAGAAGACCAACAGTAGTTTAGGGACGAGAGAAAGAGGAGTGGGAAAGATGACATTTTACACTTCCTCACATTTAGGTATTGACAGGGTTCACAATGGCAGTCTGTTATCGATCGCAACCCTCTTTTCTGTTAACCAAGATCTTCATTGATCCAGAATGATATCAATTAGATGAACTTGCATGTTAGTTTTGGGAGTTCTGGCTCTGAGTTTGTTACTATGAAATGACTGTACATGTTATAATGTATTTTCAGAGTGTATTTGTCTTTATTACCAGTACATATATATATATTTATGAAGGTAAAACAATTAGATATTTGGTTAAAGTGATACTGTGCAAGTGTTGGGTGAGTCACTGCTTTAGCTTATGCACAATGAGATAGCAGATGTACCAGATATTTGGTCAGAAGACAAACACAAAACATAGCACAGCAGAGTAAAATGTTGTCAATGGAATGTCAAATGAAGCCAGAGCCTGTTTTGAAATTAGCTTCTGTAAAACAAATTTGATACGATTAACTATCACTGTAAAATAAATAAATCCAAACTCTCATATACAGCAGAATGAGATTGTTATGTGGCCATTAAGCTAACATTATACAGGTATTTTTCTGAACACTTTTGTTTTGATTCATGTACACATAGGCACACATTTGCATATGCTTATATGCAGTACATATATATATATATATATATATATATATATATATATATAAGGCTTGGAAGCTGTAGTGTTTTGCACAGAATCTTAGCTGTTCCTAGGACTGTACGCTTTTGGATAGAGATCTCTGAGATTTGTTCCTGGGATCTGTTGAGGTTACTCTCCCAGTTTGGAGGTCACAGTATCAAGTGCTTTGATGATCACTGGCACTAAAGTGGCCTTGACTCTCCACAACTTTTTTGCCTCCTCTTTCAGCTTTGGTGTTACACATCCTTCTTCTGCTCCTTGTTGCTCTCTAGCTTGTTGACTAGCCCAATTTCTAGTTGGTTAGCCGTCACCTGTTTGTCAGTCCTGAAAGAAGTCCCATATCATCTTAGCCCTGTCATTCCTGTACACCATGTATGCCGTGCAGTGACTTATCTTTCCATGATGGTTCTTCTCATTTCTCCTCTTCCACGATGGGTTCCTGTTGCCTGAGATATTCACTTAGCAGTCCGTCATTGGGGATTTTCTTCATGATGTCCTCTACCCTCCTAGTTGTTTAATCCTATGTAGTGGCTCTGATGCTCAATATCTATATGCCTCCTTCTTTTACTTTAGTGTACAGTCACAGGGTGCATGACTTGAGCTAAAACACCTTGTGCATTGGGAGGAGCTTTTGAGTCTTAATATCAGTGGCTTCTAGCTCCTCATTTTGACAAGCTATAATACCAGCTGGGAATTAGATAACTAGTACTGCATACACATTGATGGTTTACATGTTGTTCTTGCTGTTGTTATTCAACTGGCTCTTCAGGACCTGCTGTACTCTTTGTTGTTACTTGATTGTGGCTGACTTTCTTGCAGCCTCATTGTGAATGATTTTTACCTGTGGGAATCTAAGGTTTTTGTAGCTGTTCTGGATATCTACAATTTTGCCTTTGGGTAGCTCAACACCTTCAGTAGTAATCACCTTGCATACCATTTGTCTGCATTAATCCAGTCTGAATGACATTCCAGTGTCATTGCTATATATCTTGTTAAAGCGAATCTGTGAATTTGATGTCTCACTCATTTTTGGCATATAGTGTGAAATCTATGTAGAAGAGGTGACTGATGATTGTTATACTTTGGAATTGGTAGAAGAGGTGACTTTTGTCTGTTCCACTTTGGAACTGGTATCCATAGCCACTCTTTTGCCGCTTTGCCTTTGGTAAGTGCAGTTCCACTTGGCTCTCCTCTTTTTATTTCATCTAAGAAGTATGGGATTTCCCACTACAGTGGAGGTTGACCTGTTTCCCAGCTCTGTTTGCGGAATAGTCAGTGCAAAGTGTGCAGGATCGTATCTAGTCTTTTTATGTTTGAGCCATTCCATACATTGTGGTCCTTAATTGCCCTATAATCAGACTTGAATTTCATTAGTTTATCCCAGCTCTGCCGGGATAAGGTTTCATCTAGTAGTAGCTGGTTCATTTGTGCTGCCAGGTGATAATTAAGGACAGTCAGTTTCTTAACCCATTAGATGTGGTTCAACTCAGGCCCTGCTACAGTCCAGCCATTGTTGGAGTAGCTAAATAGTTATGTAATACGTTTTTCCAAGTAATTGCTGTGTTCAGATTTTAGGTTCTGAAGCCATGGGGCATTTCATTGCCATTGAGAGTGCATTTTGGATGATATGTTCAAAATACCCTGCTTAACCTTCTGCTTCTTGAGTGTACCTCCGAGTAGCCAGAGATGCTATATATATATATATATATCCATCCATCCATCCATCCATCCATCCATCCATCCATCCATCCATCCATCCATCCATCCATCCATCCATCCATCCATCCATCCAT